GTGAATTTGGGAGGGTGGGGGGATTGTATAACAATGAAAGATTTTTTTTTTCTTTTCAAAGAGAAAAGTGAACTGGAGGGAGGGGTCGTCAAGGAGGAAAATGTGCAACAATGAATGAATGGGAAAAAAATTAAATGGGAAGAATATGCTGTAAAAAATATATGTTGCATTTGAAAATATAAAATAAAAAACTGGTGCTGTGCTCTTACTTATGGATTCATTTACTAAGTGGTATGCAGGCTTACGGAGCTCTAGTGGTATGGTGTGTGATAATTTGGGCAGCTAACTGAAACATTTGCAGTTCAAATCCACAAAGTGCTCTGAAAGGGAAAGAAGGGCAGTCTCCTCCCATGGAAATGACAGCTTTAGGAATCCCGTGGCTGGGGGGCTTCTGTGAGTCAGAATCTACCCACCAACAGCAAGCGTGGTTTGGGGTTTTGGTGTAGGGGGGCAGCTGGCAAACCCCATGCACAAAGGAGGTTGATGGAATTTTCCTTTTTACATTTGGTGTTCTTTGATTGAATATAGACATTATCTTAGTGGAAATGTTTATGCTCTCTGTGCTGTAGTTTAAATTGTAATACCTCCTCAAAAAAAAGTGAAGATGACAAAGCAACCACATTTTCTCAAGTGAAAGACTAGATTTTTCTGCATAAGCACATTTGGTAAATATTTAAAATAACTTTGGCTAAAATGGTTCCTGATAGGACATTTAATAATGTTTCGTATCAAATACATATACTTCATGATCAACGGCTCTCCTGTGGCCCAACCTCTGGCCCTCTTCTCAGTGACTGTGCCAGGTACTTACTCCTTGGGTGGCGTGGGAGGGAGGGATGTCATAGGTGTCCTTCGCGTATCGGGATGGGTACTCGTACACATAGCCATGGCCTGTCCTCACTGGAGTTATTACCTGTGGATGAGAGGATACAGAGGGGTCAAGTTCCAGGCCCAAGTACTGAGTGAACCCTGAGGTTCTCAATTGGGCCCTCATTTCTGTCTGCTCCCTCATAGGAAGGACAACACCAAGAATCAAAGAAGAGATGAATGAGGGACACCAAGTGCCTCCAGACAGTAAACCTTTCAACCCCATTTCAGTCCACCAGAGTAACTAGTTTCTGAAATGTCTTCTTCCCATAGTTACAAAATCCCTTCAGAGTGCTTCAGAGAGAGTGCTAATTCCCCAAAAATACACTCTGAGGGGCATCATTTTCAAAGTATAAAAGTCCCAAAACATCCCTTTGGAGTAATAAAACTTTTCTTACATCAAAATGGAATTTTGGGAATTTTTTTTTTAAAGAAAAACTTTGAAAGTATTTGTAAAGTGAATAATAGGGTCCAGCCACTTAACATTCCTCTCATGCTTTCCCCAGGATGCCGCCTCCTCCTCTGTGGACACTGTTATTACGATTCTAACTAAAATTCCGTAGATCACTCGAGTACTTTTACAAGCTAACAGTACTGCCCTTAGAAGTCTCCGGGAGCTTTCAACTGAACTTATGTAGCAAATGAAATACTGAGTCTGGAAGAGAGGAAGAGGGACAGAATTCAGATCTCTCTCTCTTGGGCTGAGCATTCTCCCATCTCCACCCGAGAAACAAATGTCCTAGACAGGGCCACATCCAAGGGATTGTTGTTGTTGTTGTTGTTATGTGCCGCCAAGTTGTTTGTGACTCATAGCGACCCTATGTACAAAAGCCCTAAACCCTGCTCTATCCTGCACCAACCGCACTGCCTCTGACACACCCATCCCAATTACCCTTGTCAAGTTCTACCCTTTTTTGTTAGTCTACATGTGTTCTGTTGTACATAGGGTTTTTAGAGGCCTGCTATTTCAGAAGTGGATGGCCAATCCTTCTTCCTAGTCTGTCTTAATCTGAATGTTCAGATTTAGAGGAGTATCTGACAGACAAGCAATTTGTGGAGCAGTGATGCTAAGGGCCAAATCCATTCATCATTTGGCAGCTGGAATATCTGCAAGTGAAATGAATCTCCCCTGACAGCCTCTTATTTTCATGGCTATTTATTTACTCTACTGCAGCTCTGGTGGCACAGTCGTCAAGTGCTAGACTGCTACCTTAGAGGTCAGTGGTTCAAATCCAGTGGGCGAAAGCTGCAGCAGTCTGCCTCTGTGAAGACTGATGGCCTTAGAAACCCTATGGTATGATTCTATTCCCTATAGGATTGCTACCAGTTGGAGAGTAATGAGTTTGGTTTGGTCTATTTCACCCAAGAATAGGCAGAGAAGATTGTTTGAACTTAACTCATTGTGACATGTATTTAATCCTTCGAGAGCTTCTCAATCATGAGGGTCTTATTTCTGTAGAGCACCCTACTACCACTTGCCCCACTAATCACTAAAAGTGCCCACTTCTGCCCAAGCACATGACATGTTTTTTTCCCCCACAAAATTCAGTTGTTTTATTTAAAAGCATCTTGCTATTGCTCATTTTACACTGTTAATTATGATCAATATGGACAGTCTTTTAGGGTATTCACGAATATCTTGTGGCTAAGATTAAGTGCACTCTTAAGGTAATCGTTAATGTTCATGTTTATGTACAATTAGCACATGACATTTTTGCAGGTATTGCAGGCCGGTGCTGCAAATTCAGAAAAGTCAGTGGTTCCCTAAGAATCCGTCATATCTTAGTCTTTCCCCAGTGTACAAACCCTGGCGTCAGGCTGACTGCAAAACCCTGTGAGAAGTGCTCTGCCGAACACTGTTTAAGGGACCGGGTGGCATGTGGCCAGATGCACCTATTGTTTTAAGTTAGTTGGCATGGGGCATAAAGAACCATTGATAGAGTGACCACTATAGTGTGCCCAGAGAATCTGTCTTGTAAAAAGTTGGCTGCCCTCTGCTAAGAGAAAAGCCATGTGTTCTGAATGCTTTTTTTCCTTTTTTTTTTAAATCCAGGAGAAATGAGGTATCTTCCCATCTATCTCACCAGCCCCTCTATTTATAGCTCTCTAGTTATAATAGAATCTCCTCACAATACAGCTTTTGTTCCATCTAGAAACATTCATAATTGTGGACTCTGCTCGGATGCCAAGTCTGTAACTGTGTAAATAGGAAACCCAAGGCTGGTTACACTGAGGTCCAGCTTGGTTGCTTCACCTTCCGTTTAAAGGCAGGAGGGCAATGGGAAATAGAGGGCGCACACTGCCCTCTGCAAATAATGAGGGATGAACTGTCCACTTAAAACAGGACTGGAAGGCTAAAAGGCTCTTTCCTGGCAGAGAGCATTCATGCTTCCCGGTATTTAAGTCCTCACTTCCTGCCAAATGTCACAGAACCTCAACTTGTTCTCTCTTTCTCATTTAGAGCATGCCTGTGGTCATCTGGTTTGAAAAAAGAAAAAGAAGGAAAAAAAACCAACAACAAAAAAAATCTTTGCATTCCAAACCAGTCATTTTCCTTGTTTATGCATTAAAAGAAACAGATGGCAAAAACCACTGGGAGCAAAAGCCAGCAAAAAAAATCCAGCCTGCCCCCTCCTCCAATTTCAGCACACCCTGTGTGACCTTCTAATCTGCCCAGGCTCACGGGTGGCATCTAGGGGGCCCCAGTCTTTTGCATCTAGTCAGACACATCCTGGGCACAAGAGGGATCCACTTCAAGAACCCCAAGGATCGAGAGCTGGAAGTCTTCTTCTGGACATTCTCCTTCCCTCTCAGCCCATTGCTTGGGTGAATTCCATGCCAATTGTGTGTTCCCTGCTTCTGAGGAAAATGCTGACCGTGCTGTACCTTATAAAGTATCCAGTTCTGTGGTTCATTAAACTATTTTCTTCCTGCTCACATAAGTACCAAAACCCCTTTTTCCTCCCCCTCCCTAGCCTTACCCACCCGGAATTATTGAACCTCAACCCAGGAGGAACACCAAGATCTGGCTACAAGGGCATGGAAAGTGTGGGGGAATTCTCTTGGGGTTGCACTGCACAGCACTGAGGAATACAAAGGGCTTTTTAAAACACATTTTCTCAATGAAATCTAGTCAGGTTTTTAAATTCCTCTGCTCCTGTTTGTATTTCTACATTCCTTCCATTCTATGTGTTTATTTTTAGTTACAAGGGCTTAACCTTAGGTAAACAACCAAACTGCCCTCTTCATTCATTAGTGTTGCCACAAAAGACCCTCATCAAGATGAGCTGATGTGGTAGTTGCAACAGGGGCTTTAAACACAAGGACTGTGAAAATGGGGCAGGCGTGGCCGTGCTTTGTTGTATGTGGCATCATTATTACACCTAATGGAAGCAGGAGTGGCATCCACTTCCTATACAACCTGCCTCCGCAAACTATGAACTTTGATAAATGTTGATAGTTATAGAAAGACTTCAGCCCTTTTGTTCATAGGGTCACTATGAATCACACTCAACTCAAAGGCAATCAACAACAACAACAACAACAATGACTACAACATTCATCGGTAGTACAATTGGGTAAATAACTACCAGGGATTAGTGATTGGAACCAAGTATGAACACCTCAATCTGTTTACTTGATCTGCTTCTGAAACATCATTGCCTTGAAAGCCCTATGTAGTTGTGGTATAGTGTCAAATAGGAATTGACTCATAGCTGACTCCGAGGCAGGTTTTCAGTCACAGTGAAATCACACAGGAGGCGGTGAATTTGAACCACCTTGCCCTTGGCTTGACAATGCAGCTCCTTACGCAGTTGATCTTCTCTGTTCAGAATGTACTCAATGACACCTAACAATAACAACATGAGAAACTCAACTTACCACACGGGCTTTAGTATCATTCTTATAACCTAATACAAGAAGCTGAAGTTGGAGACTTTTGAAAAAATTAGGAAGCTGAAAAATCTCAACCAAACCACAGCTGTATAATAGATTCCAACCCATGGAAACCCTTCTTTGGCTCAGAGGCTCCAAATCTTTACAGAGAAAATGGCCTGTTTTCTGAAGAGCAACTGATAGATTTGAACTGCTGACCTTTTGGCTAACCTGGCACATTAGGCGTGACACCACCAGAGGTTCTCATGAAACAGCAAAGAAGGGTAGAGTGGAGAAAGAAACAGTCTGGCCAATTCGATTAGGAAAGGAATAGCCTGTTTAATAAATACCTAAGCCATAGCAGGCAAGACCCACAGCCTGGAGATGGTTCTTATGACAGTTTTCTGGTTCATCAGCTCACCTGAAAATAAACCAGCATATAGGGTTTATCTCACCTTCAAACACTTTGATGGTATTTGACTCACACGATTTGGGGCCTTTGATTCTAGGTAGCATGCGCTGATTCTGGAGATCATTTAGAAATCACACCTCCTACCTTTAAGAAACACGCTTGCTGCAACGTGAAATAAGAGAGCGTGCTTAGGGTGGCAGCGGGGGTGGGACGAGGGGGCCAATTCACACTGAGAGGAAGAGCTCTGATGAGGCGCCACAGAGTAACGTTTACGATGCTGAAAATTTGGCACCTGACATGGGTGATGGTTGCACAACACGATTAACATCATCAGTGTCACTGACTGGTATGAGTGAAAAATCTTCAGTTGGCGAATGTTGTTTCATGTATGTTTTCACCACACATGCAAAAGCAATTAGAGAAAGAAAATGTAAAAAATAAAAACATTCTGAGGGTTGGAAGGAATCTGTTGGGGTTTGAGCCTCACAGCATGTCCCACATTGGGTTAGCCTGGGCTGGCTCCTGGAAACAGAGTCAGAGTCCAACTCTCCAGTGTCCAGGGGGCCAAGCAGGCAGGGTACTGGGCGGAATCGAGGCAGGTTTCATGCTGGGCAACTAGACGCTCGCCCAGACCCAAGGAGGCAGCCATTCCTCAGCTCCGGCCAACTGCTGTCCTGCAGAAATGCACCCTGTGTTGCCAGACTTTTCAAGAGAAGCCAGAAATCTGGATTTTTATGTGAAATCTTTTGCGTTTCCAA